GCAAGATCAGTGGTGATCTGAACCAGGCTGTGTCTGATACCAAATCCTGGGAAATTTGCCCCTCACCATCAATACTCATTGACACACTCTGGCCCTCTTTCTCTCCACCCCCACCTCTCTGCTCTCATCCCATCCCTCCCACCAGGCTCCTGACGCACTGCTCCAGGGAGGCAGGAAGCAGAAACAGGAGCTAAACTGGTCCTTCGGGCACCAATGCACAAAGAGGGGTCGAAGGGTGAGTATTTGTCTCCATCAGCGGTGGTGAGAAATGATGGATTCCCAGCTACGGCAAAAACACTTTTCGTGTATGGAGTGGTACATACACAGTGGAGGAAAGGGGGCTTGGACTAAGGAAAAGGCATGCCTTTGTTGCCTCTGGCTTCGTAATTGTGGTCACTTAGCTTCAGTGGTCCCATCTGGAAAGGGTGGTCAACTCAACCAAGCGTCCCTGAAGGCAATTAACCCTGGAAGGAGATGCTCAAGTTGGAAAAGAGGTGGCTTCTAGGGAGAGCAGCACAGTGAGGCAAGCACCTGGGGTCCAAAGCCAAAAGCATCAAGCACCAAGTGGCCACGGGCCATTCACATTAGACTGTACAAGTTCGTCTTTTATACTTGCCTGTCCTACTCCACCCTCCCTCCTCTCGGTTCTCAAAGAGCCATGAACGATGTCTTATAATTTCTAGTCTGTTTAGTTTTGCCTAGACAAGAACCAGTTTGCTTTAATTTTTTGTCAGATTATATTTTGTGATTCCCAGTTTCAGTTCTCTACATCTATTTAGGGAAGCATCTTCAGAATGATGAAACACGTGTCTAAGTAAGTGTTTCCAAAATGAGTCTTCATCTTCTTGCAAGAAGCAAGAGGTCTCAGCCTACCATTCTGTCCTGGTCTGTTTTTCCCCTGGATATGTGCACAGCAGGCTGCCTCGGGCCATGACCCCCTGTCACAGCAGCCATCCATTTATTTGTTAATGCCCTCATTCACTAAAATGTGTTACTTAGTTATTTATTTAACAATCACCAAGTCACAGACTGCGTTGGTTGCTTGGGAAACACGGTCACGGATGAGCAAAAAATAGACACTGGCCTTCTCCCTGTAGAATGTAAAGTCTAGTGGAGGAGAAAGAAATTAATCACATGCAAAAATATTTATAATTAAAAAACATGATAAAGGAACAGTCCATGATGCTTTAAGAGCAAATAACACAAGGACCTGGTTGAAGACAGTGATGTTTGATATGCGATCTAAAGGTGGGGTTGGAGTGGTTCCAGAACAGCTAGATTTGCATTTCAAGAAGAACCCTGAATTCCGGGCCAGTGGTGTGGCTCAGTGGTTGAGCATTGACCTATGAACCAGGAGGTCACAGTTCAATTCCCAGTCAGGGCACATGCCCAGGTTGCAGGCTCAATCCCCAGTGTGGGGCATGCAGGAGGCAGCAGATCAATGATTCTCTCATCACTGATGTTTCTATCTGTCTCTCCCTCTCCCTTCCTCTCTGAAATCAATAAAAATATATCCAAAAAAAAAAAAAACACAACAACAGCGTCATGTCAAAAGAACTCAGGAACCAACATGAAGAAGCTTCTGCTAGCCAAAATGGGACAAGTTGAGCTTCAATGATAATGACTGCAATAGATTAAAACCCATCTATATATGTAAATCCATAGTTTGTAATGATATTTAAAAAAAAAAAAGATTGGTCACCCTTAGAGGAGGATAGAAAGCTAACTTGTCATCTTGGAAACTAGTAGGTAATGGGAAATAATTCAGCATTTATCCTGCCTTTCCTATAAGACTGTACCACTGGGTAGTCAAATGATAAATGAGAGTATCTCTTCATAAAAGTATTCCAACTAATAAATAGGAAAATAATGGTAGAATTAGAATATTACTATTCTGCAAGCCCATGAAAAGAAAAGCCACCAGACATTATATACCTCCTATAGTCATAACTAAGATAATTTCTTGCATGAGAAATTATCCTTTGTAGAAAGTGCAATAGTGTCAAAACTCATTAGTATCTTGTCAGTGATATCATATCCACCATAATAAAAATGGACAACCTTCCGAACAAAGCCAGAGCTGCAAGGGAAGCCCGGGTCCCGGGGGCCAGAGGGAAGCCGGTGCCAGCAGCCAGGGGAAGGAAGGCCTACTCTGCATGAATTTCGTGCATCGGGCCTCTAATATATATGTATTGATCTGAGGTCACAAATCCAGTAAATGGTAGTCAGAACCCCAGGTGTCCTGACTCTGAGTCCAGTGCTATATATATATTACAATGCCTGTTATAAGAATTAAATGATTCTGCCTTTTCAAATGTATAAACTTAGGATGCATCTTATTTCAAATGAGAGGGACTCAAAAGTAATTCCACTCAATGGACAATAAAGTGAACCCCCAGCTGAAGGCTCAGGGCACCCACTGCACAGATGAACCTTGCAGCTTCCTGATCCCTCCAGAGACAGACCTGCATCCCCGCGGTCTCTGAGCGACAGGGAGAGGTTTGGCCCATGGGTTTCAGGAGACTAGCACCAGGCAGAATTCTGGCAGGAGGAGGAGGAGGAGCAGCAGGAAGGAGAGAATTTACAGACATGAAAGTCAATCTCAGTCGGGCAGACAGATTCCCAAGGGAAATACCATTCATTGCAGAGGCCACTCTGAGAGTGGAAGGAGCACTGGACTCAGAGTCAGGACACCTGGGGTTCTGACTGCCATTTACTGGATTTGTGACCTCAGATCAAGTCATTTAACATTTCTGAACTCAGCCTTCCCAGGGGCTTAAAAGGGTTAATAACACCTGCCCTGCCTACCTCCCAAGGCTGCTGTAGGGTCGGATGAGAAAATAATAACAGCTGGCATTTATCCAATGCTTGCCAGGTGACGGAAATGGGCTACATGCTTTATATGCTGTAGTGCCTCTTAGTTCTCCATCAGCCCTTTGGGGTGGCCTCTATTGTCCCTCTTTTATGGGGGAAAGAAGCTGAGACTTAGAGAGGAGAATTTGTCCAAGTTAAAGCCAGCGTTTAAAAGCAAGTAGCTTGCTCCTCCATGCTACCTCAAAGGCAGCAGCCTCTGTTGATCTATTGACCTGCCTTTGACCTTCCTACACAGATTTTTTCCTGGGGCAGTGCTATCTCTGGCTCTCAATCCTAGGAGAGAAAAGATGATTGGATCTCTTCACTAGCCGATCAAGCCCTCCTAGCACCATACACCAGCTGCACTCACATTCCTAGGTTCTCCTTGACCCACCAGACACACATGTACCCTTGGAGACCATCCCTCAAAATCCCATCAATACAGGATCCTAAAAGAAGAGTCTTTACACCCATTACCCCGTTACATACCAATAATAATACAGGGCTATTCTTCTTCAGGAGGGACTGAGAAATTTTAGTGTTTAAGTGATCGAAGTCAGTGTCTGTGGCAGATGGAATTTACACCCCCCTATCAAATAAACCACCCTAAATGTCTATTCCTGACAAAAGGCAAATCAAATTCCTCCCAGGGCACTAAAAGGACCCTCCAAAGGTGAGAGTGTTTCTCTGGTAGGAATCCAGAAAAGTGGAGAGAAGGGATCTAGCTGCTTTCAGCATGAGAATGGAAGCCTGTCTGAATGGGCAGGGCCAGTCTCAGCCCATGGGGAAATTATGTTCATAGTGGGCAGATCCTGTGAACTTTTTTTTTTTGAGGGCATCCATTCACCCAAGGAACTAGCAAGGTTAGTCACTTGAAAGTGAAGAACTGAGGTCAACTGAAGGTGAAGAACTCGAGTCCATCCTTGCTCACAGGTAGGAGCCCATTCCTACCTGGGGCCTGAGAGATTTGGCAGAGGCTGGGTAAGGGCTGAGCATAGAAGAGATTTCCCTTATGGAGTTCAAGGTCAAGTCAACCTACAGTCAATAACTCTGCTCTAAACTATAATACCACTCAACACTCACTAGGATGGCTATAATATATTTTTTTAAAAAGCACTCATGAGAATGTTTAAGAATTGGGCCCCTCGTACAATGCTGGTGGAAATGTAAAATAGCGGGGCCACGTTGGAAAACGTTTTTGGCAATTCCTCAACATGCTAAGCGTAGAGTTATCAGATGACCCAGAAGTTCCACTTCTAGGTACATACCCAAAAGAAATGGAAACATGTTCACACAAAAAAACTTGTACACAATGTTCATAGCGGCGTGTCGTAAGTGTTTCCCTCCACGTCCTGCGTGGTTCAGGGTTCGGGTCTGGAAAAGGAGCCGCACAACAAATGAAAAAGAAAAGACACGAGTTAATTTGGGAATATTGGGGGACCAGGCGGCGGCAAGTCCAACTCAAGAGAAAGGACTTCCACTGTGCTCAGGCCTCACCAAGCTTCTTATGATAAACAAGGTAGTGGTTACCAAAGTTACACTTTTCTTGTGAGCTTCACTTGTTTTTGTTCTTGTGAGTTTCACTTGTTTACACCATGGTTATACTTCCTGCACTTCCTCAGCCCATTAGATTCCCAGTTAAGATCTAGGGAGTGTTATAAGGTCAAGCCTAATTAAGCTAAGAGGACTGTGCCCTCTAAGCTGGGAATTGTTTGTGACTTTGCCCACAGGTCAGTCTGAGGCTTAACCCTATATCAGCTTCCCACAGCGGCGTTATTCATAAGAGCCTCAAACGGAAACAACTCAAATACTCATCAACTGATGAATGGGTAAACAAAATGTGGTATACCCATACACTAGAATATAGCATACATAAAACTTTAAAATGTTATGCTAAGTGAAAGAAGCCAGTCACAAAAGACCAGATATTTTGACTGCATTTATGTGAAATGTACCCCCGCCCCCCAACTGGGAAAGGGAGGTGACGACTGTTAATGAGTATGGGTTTAAAGTCCTACAATTGGCTCCTCTCTGCGGGGGCGTGGCTAGCCCTGGGGGCGTGGCTGGACTCTCGGGCGGGATGAGCCAGCTTAAAGCCCGGTTGAGGAGCAGCAGCCCACACTGTGCTGGCTGTTTCACGCGGAGGCATGGAGGAGTGTGCTTGCCTCTGTGGCGTGGGCTCTGCGCGGGGACGTCGGTGTCGTCAGAAGCGCCAGCGCCCGGCTGAGAAGGCAGCGGTCGAGGGCAAGCCGGCCACCCTGGCCCCGGCAGAAAAGCACGTCGAGGCAGACGCGGCAGCGCGGTGCTGTGCGGAGAGGGGAGGAATCCCGAGCCCCATGCCGCCCCCGCCGCCCCAGCGCTGCTCGCTGCAGGACCTGCCGGTGGAGATGCTGGTGGAGATCTTCGCCTCGCTCCCGGGCACCGATCTGCCCAGCCTGGCCCAGGTCTGCACCAAATTCCACCACATCCTGCACATCGACAGCATCTGGAGACAGCGCTGCCGGGAGGAGTTTGGCGTTCGTGAAAACTTGCAGAACCTGGAGATGATCGGTATGTCTTACCGAGAAGTCTATGCGAAGCTGTTCCACCCATACAGACACATTTTGGGATTGTGGCAGCTAGATAACGACTATGGAACAGTGCTGAATGTCGTGGTGGATGGCTTATGCATTACTGGTTGGGCGTACAGGCCTTCCCTTAACACCGATGTGGATGGCCCAATACATTTCAAGCTCTCATTCAGAATTCGCCTGACGAAGCGGAAATCAGCCACGGTGGAGTGCATGGAAGGCCGTATCAGCAGGCCCCACCACCGCCATGTGCAGATTGGGAAGGACAGGTTCACCACCCAGTGCAAGATGACAGACCATCGAAAGGATTCACCAATGCGGCTTAGGGGAGAATGGGGGCGGGTGCTGGTGCAGGAGGACGGACAGCAGTATGACTGCCTGACCTACCGCCGCCTCTACCTCCCGCCTCGCCGCCCGGACGACCTCATCAGGCCAGGCCTCTTCCAATACAACTACGATGCCTTAAGCCTAAAGATTGCCATGCTCAGCTTCCATGGGAAGTATGCCAGGGTCACGGGAACAGACAAGGCGTTCGAGATCCATCTCATGCGCCGCATCCAGCTGCGAGATGGCGAGATCTTCCGCAACTTCCAGGAGCTCTCCCGCGTGGTCCAGGAGATTGACAAGCAGGTGATCCGGGAGCAGCAGCAAGAAAACCGGACTGAGGAAAGCGAGGGCCATGGCTGGCAGAGCCCTGCCCAGCCCAGCCTCGGGGCTGCAGCTTTAGAGGAGCAGCCTGTCCCGTTTGTTCTGCCTGTGGGTGTGCGCTCAGGAGACCAGAACTACCCCCGAACCTGCAGGATGTGTTTCTATGGCGTGGACACTCTTACTGTTACCTTAAGTGGCTTCACCTTCACCAGGCGCTTCCCTGGAGTCTTCATCCTGTTTGATGAGAACCACTTCGGGTTCATCTGGCTGGAGGTGAAATACTTCTTCCTGTTCGGCAGAGTCCAGCACACCTTCCAGAATGTGGAGGCACCATCCCCGCAGGCCTTCCTGGAGATGCTCAAGAACATTCAGTCCATGCCCTAACCGGTTTGGCTCAGTGGATAGAGCATCTTCCTGCAGACTCAAGGGTCCCGGGTTCAATTCCGGTCAAGGGCATGTACCTTGGTTGCAGGCACATCCCCAGTGGGGAGTGTGCAGGAGGCAGCCGATCGATGTTTCTCTCTCATCGATGTTTCTAACTCTCTGTCCCTCTCTCTTCCTCTCTGTAAAAAATCAATAAAATATATTAAAAAAAAAAAAAAGAATTAGAACGTTCAGTCCGGACCCCCTGGGAGGAGCAGCTTGCATGCACTTGGAAGATTTGACCTTCTGACCAGGTTACCCACCTTTGTTTGTTTTTTTAATCCTCACCCGAGGATATTTTCCCATTGATGTTTAGAGATAGTGGGGGAGAGAAGAAAGACAGAAATATCGATGTGAGAGAAACACATCAGTTGGTTGCCTCCTGCCCAAGCCCGGACCAGGGCCAGGCTGGATAAGAGCCAGCAACTGAGGTAGAAATAAACCTTAGACCAGTGGTCTCAATCTTCCTAATGCTGAGACCGTTTAATACAATTCCTCATGTTGTGGTGACCCCAATTTCATTGTTACCAATTGAACATAATTAAAGCATAGTGATTAATCTCACACACACAAAAAAAAGCAAGTAGCTTGACTCTGGGTTCTGTGCTCTGAACAAGGATGCTGGACTGCCTCCTGGAGCATGTCGCTAAAAGGGCCCCATGTTCTTAAAACTGTACAACAGAAGATGCACAGTAGGTGCCAACTGGCACCTACAAGGCAAGGTCTCCACAAGCAAAGCAGAAGGGGTGCTTCAAGGGCATCTCCAAGCAAAGACTGAGGGAGGGAGGGAGACTCAGGCATAAGGTCCTCCAAACCCTCAAGATAGGACAGACGGGGAGCTAGCAGGAGGGGGTTTTGTATCTTCTTCCCCAACCCCTCTCTGAGAGACCGTCAGAGATGCTGCTTGGAGAGGAAAGAGTTCCTGGGAGTTGCCAGGGTTGCAGGAAACAGCCCACTTTTTGCAGAGGAGCTGAGAGCACAATCTCAAGGCCTTTGTCACCTTCTGGTGATAAGAGATGGTGAGGGTCCCCACAGCAAGTGGAAAGCATGCGGTTCTGTCGTAGAAAGAGTATTACTGTGCAAGTCAGGACATTTGGGTTCAAGTTCAAGGCCTGGATTTCAAGTCTAGCTCTGACACTGACAAGTTGTGTGACCTTGGACAAATCACTCCCCTGTGGATGGCCTCTAAGTTTCCTACCAAGCATGATCCCTGTGGTTCTCCCTCCTCTGCCCAGCCCAGGCTGGGGCCCTGGAAGGGACCCAGCACTTGTGAAGTCCCTGTTATGTGCAACGTACTGTCAGAGTCTTTTAAAAATAATTGTCACATAAATATATGTGAAGACTTTAGTCTGTGCTGGACCCAGTGCTGAAGTGCCTTATAAATATTACTAGTGTCCCAATGCATGAAATTCATGCACGGGGGTGGGGGGAGGTGTCCCTCAGCCCGGCCTGTACCCACAGGGGTGGGGGGAGGTGTCCCTCAGCCTGGCCTGTACCCTCTCCAATCTGGGACCCCTCAGGAGATGTCTGACAGGGATCAGGCCTAAACCTGCGGTCGGACATCCCTCCCGCAATCCAGGATTCTGGCTCCTAACCGCTCACCTGCCTGTCTGCCTGATTGCCCCTAACCACTCTGCCTGCCAGCCTACTCACCCCCAACTGCCCCCTGTCAGCCTGCTCACCCCCAACTGCCCCCCCCCCACCCGGCCTGATCACCCATAATTGCCATCCCATCCTGGCCTGGTCACCCACAACTGCCCTCCCCTCTGGCCCCTAACTGCCTCTGCCTCAGCCCCACCACCATGGCTTTGTCCAGAAGAATGTCCGGAAGGTCTCCTGGAAGGTCACCCAGTCTAATTAGCATATTACCCTTTTATTAGTATAGATGGTAAGAAAATTTACCCAAATCTTGGAAATGAAGCAAAATGATTTCTCCATGCCCTTTCAAAGTCCTATTAGAGGATTGCCAAAAAAGGGAGTGTCACTGTATCGTTCTTTCTCCCCAAACTGAGAGGAGGAAGGGGCTGGATGAGGCAGAGACATCTAGGGAAGAGCGAGGTCCACTGGAGACCCAAGAGCTTCAGAGAGGACCCAGGGTCCCAAATAAAGAAGCATTCAGATGCACAGGGCATTTGCACAGGCATATGCATAACAGGATGGGTCACTTCAGACAGCATGGTGGAGGGCATGCCTCAGGGAGAAATGGGCGAGGTGGGAGGACAGACTGGGATGGGGTACTCCTGGCTAACTCCTACTCACTCTTCTAAACTCAAATGAAAGGTGGTTTCCTCAGGGAGCCTTCCAGGACACTCTGGGCCAGGTCAAGTCTCCCTGCTCCATGTCCCCAAAGCTCCCTGCTCTTCCCCCAGCCACACTTATTGAACTATCTGTGTGTGACTTCCCCTCCATGGGGGGGGGGGGGGGGGCTGAATCCTGTTCAGGAGTTCTGGGAATCCTGCTTGAGCACCATAGTATCTGGCATACTCAGGCACTCAATTGATAATCATTGAGTGGGTGGGTGGGTGAGTAGATGGATGGATAGGTGGATGGATGGTGGATGGATGGATGGATGGATGGATGGATCATTTGAAAACCCAGATAAGGGCAATAGGAGGAAGGTGTTACATCTGAGGAAGCAAGCAAGAGTTTGAGAGAGAACAGAAGCATATAAAATAGCAGTATATCATCTTACTGGAATTTCTGGGAATCTGATTTCATTGTACCATGCCTGATTTCTGAAGGAAAATCCGGACTTACAATGAGAGAATTTTATCACCAGTTAGCTGTCAATGAGAAAATGCATTTGCTGGCTGCTAGCTGACTCAAAGCTTCATGGTTTATTTTCAGCTCATCATCTATTTTAAAAACAACTAACTCGAGTTTTGCCCCCGGCTGCCTACAGTTCATCTTTCCTTGCGCCCCACTCAGCTTCCCTCTCAGCTTTTCTTTACAATTTAACCTTCAAAATAGCCCCCATCCCAAACAGTCTGACCTGCTGTCTGTATAAGCCATCAAACTACCTCAGAAGCCTGTCATTTCTACACTCCTGATGCACCTGAAGACAGTTGCTCACACCTGTGTATTTTAATGTGGGATTCAGAAAGGGTGCTCTTAGTTGTTACCCCATAATTTAACCTTTGTTTTCTCTGTCATCAAGTCAGTTCTTTTAAAATGTATTTTTATTGATTTCAGAGACATAGGGAGAGGGATGGAGAGATAGAATCAATGATGAGAGAGAATCATGCAACAGCTGCCTCCTGCACGCCCCACCCTGGGGATCGAGACCACAACTCCAGCACATGCCTTGACCAGGAATCGAGCCGTGACCGCCTGGCTTATAGTTCGACGATCAACCACTGAGTCACGCTGGTGGGGCAAGTCAGATTTTTTAAGCTCATAAAACTTTATATCTTGTATATCAAGCATGAAACTAGATGCTGGAGATAAACGATGAATAAAATACTAGCCAGAAAAGAAAATGTCAACCCATACTGTCAAGATTGGGAGGTGGAGGGTGATGGGAGGCTGCTTTCCCATGCAAATGAGTATTAACTTCTCTGATGGAAAATGTGAATCATATAACTTTTGTTGTCCTTTTTTCAATGGAAGGAATAAAACTCCGAGTACAACCAACTCAAAAGTAATAGATGTCATTTTTCACTCATTGGGTTATAAATAGTTCTATCTAGCGGTGACATTTTGTCACTGCATAGCTGGCATGGCCTCTTTGAAGAACAATTTTTATCAAGTATTTTAATACAATTTTTTAATGGATTTATCCCGCAATTCTACTTCCAGATATCTCCCTTGGAGAAATACACATGTGTACAAAGAGGCCTGTATAAGAAAGTTAACGGCCACATCCTCTATAATAGTAAAAGAAGGAAACCACCAGATACTATGCAATAGTAACAAAGAAAGAGATAAATCTACATGTACTGCCCTATCTGCTGGATACGTGAAAATACTGAGTTGGAGAATAATACAATTTCAACCCATTGCTGTTAAAAACTAAGACCAAGATAAATTTTTTTAATGTGCGCATGCAACCGTGGTAAGCACAGCTGGTTTTTCCCCACAGCCATTCCCTACTCCCCCTCCCTCCTTGCACACAGAATGCCCAGAGTTTTTTCGAGCAACAGCCCGATCGCTATGGGCTCAGGGCCAGCAGGCCCCTGGGATGAAGAGTAATTGGTTTTATGGAAAATTGGTTCTTTTTGCCAAGGAAACATGAGGGAAAGTCTGCAGGGTGACTTCTAGGACAGACTCTCTCCTTTGATCAAAAGGAAAAGCTTTGCTTGGCAGGTGTGGCTCAGTGGTTGAGCATCAACCCATGAACCAAAAGGTCACCGGTTTGATTCCCGGTCAGGGCACATTCCCAGGTTTGGGGCTTGATCCCCCAGTAGAGGGTATGCAAGAGGCGGTCAATCCATGTCTCTCTCATGGATGTTTCTATCTCTCTCCCCCTCCTCTCTCGGAAATCAATAAAAACATTTAAAAGAAAATGCAATATTTAAAAATAAATAAATAAAAGGAAAAGCCCTGCCAGGAAAGAAGCTGCTTTTCCCCATCCCCTTTTTTCCATGAGAAATGTCCCGTGATGTGTGAGGATGTGGGATTGAGGTGCAGCAGCCGTCTGTAGCCATGAGGCACCGGCAAAGAGAACCGCAGACGCACAGACCAGAGGTGGTGCATTGTGGAGCCACAAATGGGTTCTGAAGCCAGTCAGCTACCTCTAGGCTTCTTTTTTTTTTTTTTTTTTAATATATTTTATTAATTTTATTTGATTTTTTTACAGAGAGGAAGGGAGAGAGACAGAGAGTCAGAAACATCGATGAGAGAGAAACATTGATCAGCTGCCTCCTGCACATCTCCCACTGGGGATGTGCCCGCAACCCAGGTACATGCCCTTGACCGGAATCGAACCCGGGACCTTTCAGTCTGCAGGCCGACGCTCTATC